TTGTGGCAAGACATTCATTCCTAGTGGACGTACATTTTTATTGCTGACATGAGTAGTCGAGGTCGTTGAAGTGTAACGAGGTTAGTAACCTTTGCTCCTGAGGTCACCGTCACCAGTTCCATTCACTTCCTTTCATTACTACTCAGCATTTATGAATAAACTTTCCTCTCTTCACAGCATCATCATTGTAACTAATTCAGTAATGTCTTCCTAGGGCAACTGGTATTTATACTTCTTTTGGACTTCATCCATCGTCTGGTATGTAAAAGACAAAAGACCACGACGTTCAATCGACTGGTCCAGTGATTGAGGCTAGCTCTTTCTAACGGGCCCAACTGAGTAGGTTTATCCTTCCCTACCCACCTGAAGACGGAGACAGATCCAGTCTCCGAAACGTCTTGGTCTTTTGTCTTATATATACCGGACGATGGGTGAAGTCCAAAATGAGCCAAAAGAAGTACAGTATACACCATCGTCAGAATCCTTTCAGGTCTATCTGGTATTTAGTTAAGCAGCCAATAGGTTCCTGTTTGTAGCAATCCTAGCTATAGTACCGTGCAGACTATCACATCTGTTTCTGAACCTCTTTTAAGCCAACGTCATCCTTGGTGAAACACCGCATGTCCATTTCAGTGCCGATTTAGTTCTTATCTCCGCCTGCTTGCTATTGTATCTGTATCATGAAAACAAGACAAGATTTTATTTTTACTAAATTTATTTGCCGATCACAATGGCCGCGCTGTCTAAGGCATGAAATGTCTGCACCTGCTCAAATACTGGTATCATGGGTTTGAATCCCATTCTAGGCATAGATGTTTGTGTTCATTCGGTGTTCGTGTTGACCTGTGTAGGTAGCGGCCTTGCGACGAGCTGATCACCTATCCAAGGAGTGTACCGACTGTGTATAAGATATAAATTTCAAAATTAATTAATTCTGAATGAGAACAGCCCGAGAGCCTGATCCGTGCTAGTAATAGTAGTAGTAGTAGTAATAGTAGTAGTAGTAGTAGTAGTAGTAGTAGATGAATAATAAGAACAAGAGACGTATTTATTCAGTCACTGGAAAAGGCCGATAAAAGAAAGTTATCATGATGTTTTGGGCTCTTCCGACCTGTTTGAGAGAGTATGAAATGTATTTGACGCGCTTCTTTGTGAGACTTAACGTATTATTTTTTATTGCTAGTGCGGTGGGACTAAGTCCCTTGTACTGCGGCTACTTCTGGCCTATTGTACCAGCACCAGATGATAGGTGAGGGTGATTGTGGAGCAATTGGTGGAATGAAGATTGGAAGGGGAAACCGAAGTACTCAGAGAAAACCTGCCCCAGCGCCACTTTGTCCACCACAAATCCCACTTGACCAGACCCCGGATCGAACCCGGGCCGCCGCAGTAGGAAGCTAGCGACTAACCGCTTGAGCTATGGCGCGGCCTGAGACTTAACGTACTTCCGCTAGCGTACACAAAAGCCTACCATGAGATTGCAGGTTCTTTCGTCTCTTGAGTGAAACCAGTCTGATTTAACCTTCATGGCCTGTTTCTCTAAGGGCGGTCGCACACCAGCTGCGTCAAGACAACCATCAAGACATGAGACAAAAGACGCAGTCTTGCTTCATTCGTGATTGAGACTCCAGTCCGCACACCGAAGTAGCACGTGTCTACGTCTCATCACATCTTCTCTTGTTGATGACATGACGTCATGCCGATAACGTACACTGGTGCTGTTCCTCGAGTACTCATGTCTGCAGCATGATGCTGACGTCATGACTCAGACCGGTGTGCGGCGGTTTTCATAATCTCATTCGTTTCAACTGTGAAGACATCGTGTCTTGACTGTTACATGACTTGACGCATGCCGGTGTGCGGCCTACCTAAGGCAATTTTAATGTTACGTACCCAACCTGCATAATGGGGAGCTTCGTAACTTGTACTCTTCTCCAAGTATAATTAGAATGATCAAGTTAAGGAGGATGAGGTGGGCAGGGCATGTAGCACGAATGGGGAGACGAGGAATGCACATAGGATATTGGTGGGAAAGCCAGAAGAAAAGAGACCACTGGGAAGACCAAGGCGTAGGTGGGCGAACAATATTAAATTGGACCTTAGAGCGACAGAATGGGATCGCATGGATTGTTTTGATCTGGCTCATAATAGAAACCAGTGAAGGGCTCTTGTGAACACGCTAATGAACCTTCGAGTTCCGTAAAATGCTGGAAAATTCTTGAGTAGCTGCAGAATTGGCGGCTCCTCCAGATGGGCTCAGCTCCACGAGTGAGTAAGTACCCATCTACGCTAAATTTATTCAGTTCTCCCAAAATTCTTGAGTGATATTGCATGATTTTTCTTATAGTTCTCTGCTACGTATCACTCAACTCCTTCAGTTAGTACTCGCAAGTCTATTAATATTACGTGAAGGATACAAATTGTGAAGCTTATTATATTGTTAACTGTCTCCAGCCATCATTTCCTCTCCCCCCTTTTCCCTCACCATTTTGTTCTCAAACACCAGTAGCCTCAATTTATGTTCTTCTCTTAGTGCAAGACACGAAGTCTTACACTCATACAAAACAACAGATAACATTGTAGGTTTTAGTGTCGAAGAATGGTTTGCAGACAACTTTGAATGCTCTTTTATGTTACCTGAAAGAATGTCAGGTGTGATTTAAGATTGAAAGCTCTGCTGTAGTATTGTTATGAATGTGCAGGTATGTGTGATACGATAGGAACAAATAAAAACTTTCTTTGCAACTTGCTCCTGCTGCGAAAACACGGCTTAGAGCGAAGGTAATAAACAGTGCGTTTACTGCGCTAAATCCTTTTATGTAATCTTTATATCCATATCCTTAAGGGTCATTAGTTCATCTTCAATTCCATTCACAATAATCGGGTACAAACATTTTAGACCGAAGATGATTGTCTGTTGACAACAATCCAGACTTGCATGCGAGTGGTTCTCGCTTCAAATTCCGGTAGCATCACCGGCTGTCCTGGCTCATTTGTGGTTTTCTTCAGTCCCTTCAGGCAAGTGCCCGGATAGGACGTCCATCATTATAACAACTTCCTTCTAAAATCTTCCCAATTCGTCATTGATCAATTATCCTGTCATTTAGCGCTACTGACAGCAGCATACAATGTCACAATGGATTAGACCGTTTACCATAGAACGAGGAGAAAGTTTATTTTTAGTCAAGAACACCTGACGACGGAGACAGAATCCAGTCTCCGAAACGTTGTGTTTTGAAAAATAAACAGGACGGTTTTTAGACAGAGACAAGACGATGGATAATGTCAAAAAATATAATATTTATAAGAACATTTTGATTTGTCGAGAGCCTGGATAGCTCAGTCGGTATAGAGACTGGCTACGGGCTGGACGACAGAGGGGTCGGAGTTCGAGTCCCGGTAGGATCAAGAATTTTCTCTTCTCCATGACGTTCAGACCGGCTCTGGGGTGCACCCAACCTCCTATCCAATGGGTACCGGAGGCTCTTTCCCCGGAAGTAAAGAGGCAGGGGCGTGAAGCTGACCATTCCATCTAGTGCCGATGTCAAGAAAATATGGGTCTATACATCCACTCCTCCATACGCCTTCATGGCGTAGTGCTTAATTAGTTAAACACAGGGACAAATTAACCTTTTACCTTTGATCTCAAAAGTTTCCTTGCATCAACTCTTACAGTGAGATTCCTCATTAACTGTAATGTAAAGAGTAGGTTGCATTTTTATGTTTCGAATGCTGTTTATCGAATTAAACTGTGTGTTACTTATGCGTCTCTAGGAATTTGCTCGAAAATTACACACCTTAACTATTTGTACTAGCTGCTTAAAGTGGACGCTCGGTTTAAAACACGAAATTTTTTCGTCCGATTATACACTGTGACCGTGGGTTCGAATCCCACTCTAGGCATGGATGTGTGTCTGTGTTTATCTAGGTTTGTATTTTCCTGTGTAGGTAGCGGCCTTGTGACGGACTGATCCCCCGTTCAAGGAGTCCTGCCAACTGTCTATAAGACAGTTCGAGAAGTAATTCTGAATGGCAACAGGCCACAGGGCCTAATCCATCAAGGTACAAGAGAATACAAGGGATACGCTCCCGGCTATGGAGAGCTACATACAAAAGGAACAAAGCGTAGGCATACGTTCTCAAACCACGAAGACAGACGAAGTGATACGGTTCAGTAGCTTCAGTCGATTAACGGTTGCTTGAGGATGGCCTTATAGGGCCGAAACTTGTCGAAACAGTAAATAAAATGTGATTTTAATGACATTTTAGGAACTTAAATGTGATTATAATGGCATTTTAAAATAAAAGTTCATGCTGCATTAGAGACGGAAACAAGTGGACGGGTAGAAAGAGAGCACTCTCTGCTAAATTTTTTTTTGTTCATTGGCTCCACAGCCCTCATTTGAGCCTAGGCCTACCTCCATGAAACTCCGTTTCACTTCGGTTTTACTAGATCATAGACATACGGTAGGACTCCTTGGGCGGATGATCAGCTCGCCGCAAGGCCTCTATCTGTACACAAACACAGAAAAATGCACACAAGCATCCATGCCCTGAGTGGGATTCGAACTCACGATCCCGGCTTCCGAGCAAGCGAAGACAGTGCATGCCATAGACCTCTCGGCTACCGTGACCGGCCTGCTAAATAATTTGTTTTTCCTTGGCACTACAGCCCCAGTGGGCCTAGGCCTACCTCCATGAACTTCTCCGTTCACTTCGGTTTTTCTAGATCTTACACATTTGGTAGGACTCCATGGGCGGGTGATCAGCTCGTCGCAAGGCCTCTACCTGTACACAAACACAGAAAAACGCACACACACAAACTAAACATCCATGCCCTGAGTGGGATTCGAACTCACAATCCCAGTTTCCAAGCGAGCGAAGACAGTACATGCCCTATACCGCTCGGCTACCCTGACCGGCGCTAAATAATTATGTGCACTAATTAACGTAGTGGCTATATGGCCCACGTAAATTAAGTACCAAAATAGGCTTCGTACCTTGATAAAAGCTTGGAGGTGAGAACACAATCACAGGGAAGTTCTGGTACTCTCGGTGTCCGTGAAGATCCCCCGTATAATTTGTTGAATTATTCTGGAATGAAATACGCAGTTAATTATATCGTCATGTTGATGAGAGTATTAATTAAGAAGGTTTAAATAATTATCCATCTACCTATCTCTCCATCCATGGCTCTACAGTACTTTGTTGGACCTTGTCCTCTATTTCAGTTTCTTAATCTATACACAGTCGGTAGTATACCTTGGACGGGGGATCAGCCCCTCTCAAGGCCGCTACGTACACACAGTACAACACCAACAGACATCCATGCTTTATGTTGGATTCGATTTGATTGGTTATTTATCGCCTTAAATTTCTTAACCCTAAGCCTGCGATTAGTCAAACAAGATCCGTTACCGCACATTGCGACATTCGACTTCATTCACTGTCTGTCTGTCTGTCTGTCTGTCTAAGCCATTTCTGACCTTGGCCGCTTTTTTAGTTTTTTAATCTATACACAGTCTATAGGACACCTTGGACGGGGGATCAGCCCGTCGCAAGGCCTCTACCTACACTCAGAACAACACAGATACAGAATAAACGCACTCAGGCATCCATGTCTCTAGTGGGATTCGAACCCACGATCCCAGCGTTCATGCCTTAGACCGTGCGACCACTGGGATCGGAAAGCAGATGAATTCATACATAAGCTACGTCTGCACTGAGACGAAGTTGACAGAAGTGTCTGATAGAGACTGTAGTAGCCCCTGCACGAATTTAATTTGGTGTCATTGGCTGTATCGCTGAGGACTGGATACGGTAATTATTATTTATATCAGGGAGAGCGACGGTGGATATGTCTGTATTCTGGGTCACTTCCGCAAAGACTTTCGTTCGACCTCCTATTAGACTACGTAGGCGATTTCTGCGGGGCAAAGGGCTGCCGAGGAGCCTGACTGACCACTCATCTCACAGTGAACTTCCGTTGTTCGCGTGCGAAAGCTAAAGGGATCATGAAAATCACGGATTTCCCCGTTGATTGTTATCGAACGAAGCGGCTGAGAGATCGATAATCTTTTCACAGCCTACTTCCTTTCTTGCCATTTCCTCTCAATCACCTTCCACTGCCACCTCCAGAACTCTACCCAATTCTTGACAACAACTAACTGCCCCCTTGCAACTTCTCGTTATACAGCCTCGGGGTGGAGCTCACTGAAAATATAATATTCTATTGTCCTGTATTGTTTTAGGTTTGTTTACTGATCCGTTACCTAGCAGTAGATGTCATATTGTTGTGCGCGTTGGCTCCCGCCGGAATGTGATTTCCTAGTCGTTGCGTAGCAATGGTTCTATACTTCACCTGTTTTGACATTAAAGATTTGGACATTTTGCTTACAGGGTGTTGGCCTTTTCTGTGTTTCACATGATTCTTAGAATAAACAGCGATTATTTCCCTATACAGCGTCATCCGATCAGTGTCTTTGATGTAGACTCTCTTCGTTTTATGTGAGGTACGAACTGATATTTTTTAAAATATTTATTAGAAGTATTTGGTGTTTTACACGGTTAAAGCGCATTTGTACTGCGCACCTGATTCCCTCTTCGTAATTATGGCTCGATATTGTGGGATCTGATATACTCACTGCAGTGAGGATCTGAACTGTGACGCCGCGTGATCGAGAGAGCTGCGTCAGGGGGAATCACCTGAGACTTGTGTGAGGGAGGCGCGCGATTTGAATTCCGGCCCGGAAACCGAATATCCTGTGTAACCGTCCAAACCTTTTAATATTCTTTAATGGACACTGTGTTCCACGTTAGTCATTTCAATAGAGTGATTTATTAGGGAGACCCATCCATTAAGAAGATGACAAGCTTTTCGCATTTAGACACGAATAACTTATTTTGTTACCTGGACATTGGGTGACCGTTAGAGGGTCGA